GTATACCATTCAATATATATAGGCATTTACTAAAACTTAATTCTAATTCCCAACTCATTATAAGTCGATTACCCATGTGAATAATATGAAACCCTAAACTATTTATGACATATACAATTTATAAACAGAAGACTAAACAACATAGTCCACCTAAGCACATATGTAAAAATACAAATAAATCATATAAGCTATCAAATAAAACACGTCAATTCAATCACCAATTAATCAGATAATAAATTTAAATAAATAATTAAATAATTAATTTAAAATAAACAAACAATTACAATAAATAATAAATTTAAATAAATACACATTTAACCAATTAAGCAAATAAGCACATAATTCAAAGAAAATTGAATTTAAATTCCAACTATATCCTTTTAAATATTGGGGGTATTACAGCTTATGGGTGATTCCTAAAGGCAAAACCATTACCAAGAAGATGGAGATCAAGGAGAATGTATCTTGCTAGGGAATCTACAATAAGTGAGAGCATTCACTTTAGAGGAAAGATTTAAAGGTTTTCTCAAACCTTTAATGTAAGTATTCAATCTATTAATTGAATGATACATCATATTTTATTTTTGCATAAAACTTATTTCTATGTGATGAATCAAGATCTATATATGAACATCCCTCAAAAAGTTTTTAAAAATTGCACATTTCCCAACAACTATAACCAAAGAAAGTTTCTTGACCATCATGACCTAAGGTATTATGACCTGAGAAAACTATTCAGCTATGATCAGGAGTCTCGGTCACCATGGCCTAAGTTTCCTAGTCACTATAACCTAAAAGTCTTGATTAGAGTCTCAGTCACTATAGCCTAATAGAGTCTCTCGACCATCACGACTTAAGAGTCTCTCGATCAATGGTCAGAAGTCTCAATTAGATGACCTAAGAGTCTCTCGATCAGTGGTCAGAAGTCTCTCAATCAATGTCAAATGAGTCTCGGTCAATATGAATCATGACCTAAAAGTCCTTCGACCAACCCATGGTCAAGAATAACATGTTGACGATGGTAACTGAGAGTGGGCCTAATTTTTAGACAAGCTCAGGCCAGGATGGATTCAATATCTTCTTAGGTTATAGGTATTTAAAGCATATTTGATATAAGTCAAATGAAGACCAGCCGTGAATCCTAATGTCTCAAGAACCCAATAGGTCAGGTCTGAAAACTTAAGGAAAGTTTGAAATGGAAAAGACAACTTGACCATATCCAGGAATTTGGAGCTACAAATGGAAGGTTCTCACATATCTCTAATGAAGAAGGTCATAATTGTCAGTTATCAGAAGATTCCATAGCCAAAACCCAAGTCAGAGTCAGGCATGGTAATTGAAGATAGCTGAGAATAGACTGCAAGAAAAAATCATCAAGTATGAAAGAAGATGTATCCCTTGGCCAAAAAAACCATGCCAAATATATATATTTTTATCTGTCCATGGAGAAGTGGGCAAGTTAACATGACCAACTCAACAAGATGGTTAGTATAAGTCATTTTCAGCCCGTAGCTAATTAATTTCTAGAAAAACTTATTAAAAGGGACAACACCAGATTGAAGCCTCTATAAATACTCACTCAAGTCTCACAAGGAAGGGTCCATCACCACGATCTAACATGCATTTTGTTATCTATCTTCCTTAATTTATCTTAGCTTATAGTTTTTAGACTCTGAACTTTATCTTTCATGTCTATCTTTGGCTCTTTAGCTTTAGTTCGGTAATCTTAGCTAGTTGTAATTTAGTTGCTTAGCTTGTTAGTTTTCTAGTTTGTTATCTTTAACTTATGTATCTTGCTTCCAACATTAATGAAATGTTTTTCTTCATGAGAGTGTTAAATTTCTCAATCTGCACTTCATTTTCTTACTCCTTATCAAGCTCCCATTTTCAAGACTGAAAGTCCTTGTCATCAAGGCATTGAGATACTAATTGAGAGGTCATTATTATTCTCCTTCAGTCGCCTGATCCTTAAGAAAACCGACTTACTGTTTGAAATAGGAATAATTTGGCTTACCCACATTTGTGTTCCATGGACCCATGTTACGAATCAACTAATCTAGGCTCGTCACATTATATTAGTTCACATTTAAACTAATGTTTTTCCAAGTTTTATTGAAAAATACAGATTGATTCCACATTTGGTTAGGCTTGTTTGATATTCAATTACACACAGCAACTGCATAGTCTTTGTTTATCAGTGGTAAACCTGAAAATTTGATGCTCGATTCTAGGTCTAAGCATCGTGATTGAATTCCAGATCATCTGCATTATGTTTAAATAAGAATGTTGGTGTAACTTTTGACAAAACATTGGTATATTCATTAGAACTGATGCTAAGAACAATTGTGATCGTGCAAGCTCAGCCATTGGATCATATATATGAGCCCCACAGCCGCAAGGAGGCCCAGGTTTTGTTCTTCCTAAAACCGACTAAACGTGTGATGCTGCTACAAGCAATGGATACGGGTGCAGTGTTTGTAATACACCACGAGTAACTAAAAGTCAACAAGTCTCAACTCCTTGCACATATTGTTTAATCTGTTTGTGGAGTCCTAATGCAATCCCAAACCGTATTAATCCTATGTCTTAATGACGATGGTATAAGGGGATTGAGGCCTTGTTTCATGTTGGTAAAATCAAGTTTGAATAATTAGACCACTTACAATTATCACCCTCTTTGTAATGCATGTTTGGATGGCGGGAAATTTCCAACAAACATTATGTGGTTGTTTGCCTATGCCTAGCACTCTGCATATATAGCTACCTTGGGTCCCTTTCGTTCATTTCCCTCCCGGTGTTCATTTCATTTTTTTTTTTTTTAAATTTATTTATTTATTTATTTTTAGTTGACACCAGGAACTCACCTAGGCAGGGCCCCTTCGGGCCCACCTTAAGCTACAAACCTGGAGGTGTAAGAACCTCGCCCCAAATATAACACCAGGTGAGTCGGAGGACAAGGAAGGCTTGGGAGGAGTCGAACCTGGGCGTTGATGTGGCAGGCCGAGCTCCTACCATCACTGCCCCGCCGCCGGAGGCCGGTGTTCATTTGTTCTCATTGAGGTTGGGACAGTTTTTCCTATTTTTGGGAAGTAGTAGGTTTTTAGGACTTCCAATTGTCTTTATTGGCTTCTATGCAACTAACTAATAAATTAGTTTAATGATATGGCCATGCTTAGGAGAAATCATATTCTCGAGTCATTCCATGTGTTATCAAGTTATAAACCTTTTTCCTATTAGTGGTTACCTATTTATAGTTATTAAAGATAATTTGCAAAGAAATTACTTGTAGCCCTTCAAAGTCTAATGAACCTTTTTAGTCTTCCTTTTAAAATTCAAATCTAATAAAATTATTGTAATCTTTTGCTTAAACATATTATTAATCTATTGATGTGTGTATATATATTATACGCTAAAAGGCATATAATCCAATGGTATAACTTCTTCATCCTCAAAGATGAGGTAAGGTGTTCAAGCCCGCGTTTGGATGTGTGAGTTGTGCTAAAAAAAATAAAAAAAAATGGTTAACCCTTTTTATTGGCTGTCATATAGAAATTTTGTTCTAATTATTTTATTTTATTTTAAAATTAAATTTAATATTACTAATTTGGCTTTTGGCTCCCACCCTATCCATGTAGAGTGTGTATGGCATGAGAATAGTGGAGTTTTAGAGTATTTCCCATTTGTGTAGAGATTGAGGAGGTAAGGGGAGTTTGGAAGATTCTAGAATATTGGAGAGTTCCTAGATATCTCTAAAGTATAGATACTTTAGAATATTTTAAAAGTATAAATTTTTGTAAAATTGTAGATATTTATCTGAAAAATTATAGAGAGTATATAAGAGGTGTATAAATAGATGAGGAAGTCATGTGAAAAAGAAACAAGCTACAAAAATCAGCATCCCTCTATAAAGCATGTGTTTAAAAAAGATTTTGCAATTCATAAAGATTGAGCTAATGTAATTAAAATGAAAAATTAAATTTAAATTGAGGATTATATTTTCAAAATTAAAATTTTAAATTTAGTCAAATAAATTGAAATTAAAATTAATTTTGTTACATTTGGAAATTAGTTGTAAATTGTAATTGGTAAGTGGAAACTTAAATTAAAGATTGTTGTTAATATATATTTTATTTTAATTTATTTTTAAGAAAGTAATGTGAAGATGTAAATTAAAGGGTCTAATAAATCAGTTAGATCAATCTTGATTTGAGAGAAATCAAAAGCAAAGGAAAATGAAGTAAATCTCAAAAATATATATATATATTAAAATATCGTTTCATATACTAAGGCTGTTTTTGGAATTAGAAAAGAAAAATATATATTATATTTTCTGACAGCGAACTTTAAATAAATCATTTTTGTTTCTCACAAGATAATATTAAACTAAAGATTTAATATAAAAGTCATAACAAACTTAGAATGAGAATTGAGAAGTATGAAAAAGGGAACCAATGTACAGTTCCGGCAATCAACAAACCCAACCAAATCTGTGACTCTGCCCGGGTTTTGGAACAGTATATAGTTTTCTTTAATGCTTTTTATTTTATATTATATTTTCCTCTGCCTAAATGGACTCTAATGATACTTTATTACAAACAATTAAAGTATTTTGCAAACTCTTGATTCACTAAATCCAAACAAAACTATTATAAAAAGCTAAAAGTTACAGATCAAGACAAATAAAAATCTAAGCTCCAGTGACAAAAAAAAAACTAAGCTCCAATGACAATAAAGGTAAGTCCACATGAATCAACAAAGTTCAACAGAATAAAGAGCATGTTTTTGTCTTCTATTATTCTTTTTCTCAAAATGAGATTCTTTTCTTCTCTTTTTGACTGCCTCAGTCCAAGATGGTGCTTTTCTTTCCACAACAATACATGATCAAAGACTACATCACATGGTTTCCTTGCTTTTGTTCATATCACTTTAACAGTTCAAAAACAAAATTTTAAGTCCAAAAACAAAAATAAAAGTCCAAAAGGGCACAAAACACAGGCTCCTAAAGGAAAGAGATCCACCATTTGGATAACTTATCTTATACTTCAAATTCTCTTTTTACAATACAAGCACCCAAAAAAAGGGGACAAAAAAAAAACAAAAACAAAAACAAAAACAAAAGCAATCCCACCTAATTTTCAAAACATATGGTTAGTCCCAAAGCCTCAAAAGGGCCATAGATTTCTATTTCAAGTCTTCACCATTTGCCAATTCTACTACCCCATTTCTACTGAAACTTCAAATTCTGTGTCTATTATTGTTCCTTTCGGCAACAATGGAGATTAGTCTTGAGACACCTTGAGTCCATACATCATATTCTCTCTGATTCCGGCACTCAAATTCGACAATACCACGCAGTACAGTCTTCAATCCGAAGTATCGCCTGTTCTCACCACCTTCAAGCAAGTGACGGCCAGGCCAAGCCGGCATATCTTTCAACACCTCCAACACAATATCTGTAAAATCAAAAGAGAGAAATTAAAGATGGCATCTTTCGATCCTTTTCACTTTAGTGGCACATTCCTTTCGCTAATCCCTATACAGAACAAGACCCACCTCCATTTCCGTTTCACATTATGACAGAAAGACAAAAGTAATAGACTTACTCTTTTTCTTTTTTGTGATGGTCCCAGCAACATGCCTGCTCTTCATCTTCAACGTCACCTGCAATACAAAATCAAGTTTTAGAAATTAACCACTGCAATGGAAGATACAAAGTTGATTTGATAATGTTCATTCATCTTTTCATTTTGTTCTGTCATGCATAATTGCAACTTTCTGCGTATCTTTAACCACGTCACATCCTCACATTACCTTTAAAATTTTGACCGAGACACAAAAATCCCATGTATTGAAACCAAAAATGTATTTCAAAATTGAGTTTTGAATTTCATTTCCATTTGTAACAGCTTTGAAAAAGAAAAAAAAAAAGTACCAAGCAGAGAAGAAAATTTGAAGTTACGGATGGTAGTAATTCATTGTCAGGATCAAACAACATAATCTGCTGAAATTAGCCTACTAGAATTTATTAAACTTAGATGAGTTATTCTTTTTCTTGGGGAAACCAGAGCAACAGAAGGTATCATGTAATAGCTGGGTTTAACAAAAGAAACACACCTGGCCCAACCTGTTGATATAAACAGAAACTATTTTCCAATGAAGATCTCCTGCATAAACCAAACTGGCATTTAATCAAACCAGTAATATGTAAATAATTTATTCAAGCAATCGCTGTGCTCAGATACTCTGAAATGGGCTAAAAATTAAGTGCATACCTTTGCGAGTCCGCTTAAGGAGCTCACAACCTCGGGCAAGAAGTTCTCGGCTGCATATGCCTAGGAAATTCTCTTCCGGAACAAGCTCACCACTGTAACTCCCATTTGAACTTCCATTGCTCCCACCACCAGCATTCATTCCCTTGTCCACTGGAATCACTGCTGCTATATTCCATACCTCTTTTAATGCTCTTGCCTTCAATGTTGCCGCCCCACGCAGTGCTACAACCAAACCAACCCACCAAACCATTTCATTAAAGATACGTTCAACGAATAACAGATACGGTTGTCAATTAACATAAACAACAATACAAAACATATGAATCAAAACATTGGTGAAGTTTTCAATCTTATTAAACTATTTTCATAAATGCCTTTAAAATTAGATACGAAAATAAGCCCCCATTAATAAAATAAAAATAGCAATTTAAGAAATGCCAACAAACAATTTAAAGAGAATCAATTTGTGAGCTACATTTGCACTAATTGGTATACCTGTCGCAGCTGCGGCTGTCAATGTCATGATATCCCCAGCTGAACGTACATTAACTGCAGAACTAACTACAGAAGCAAGGTGATCACGCTCGGCCCCCATGGCCTCGGCAGCTTCCACACACTGAGCCGCGACCAACGTAGCAGCCGAAGCAACGGCCATATCAGTTTTAGCCATCTGCTCGTCCTTCCCTGACCCAGAGGAGGCAGCAGTAGCAGCAGCAATGGCAGCCACAGCAGCAGCAACCCCGGCAACTGAAACAGCAGCATGGAGTTGCGCATTTTGAGCTCTCGTCTCCTCTTTCTTCTTCTCTTTCCTATCCTTCAACCACCTCCCAACTGTCTTCCCTCCACCACCGGTGGGTCCACTTCTGTACTGGGCATTCAATTGGTTGTTCAATCGACAAAACTACAAACGCAAACCAGTGTTAGTCTCCAAATTCACCATACAGGGGTGTAGGTATGCACCAATTTGACATCAATAGTGTAATTTAATGAGAAAGCACACAATTTCTTTCTAACAATAGTGTTTGATACGAATGCGTGTTTGATAAGAATGCACCCACCCACCCACCTCATGGTGGAAGGGACCATGTTTCATAAATGTGCACACAATTAAACGCCACTACTAGTTAAGAGAATTGGACCAGTCTCAAGGTGTGATAAATTGCTAGTCACTCATGGGTCGACATGAACAATACAATGGAAGGTACAAGCCATTATTTCCTCATCGACTAAAGAATCCACCATTTTAAATCCATTCAAGAAAAACTTATGTTTATTTAATCACAGACACATGCTTACATACACTAATATATCCATACAGAAGTTGTATTTACCACCCAAAACACCTAATAATCATGGTGTGGTCCCAAGGTTTTATCTACTGAGACACTGCTTCCAGAATAATGATTCTTCCAGATGGGACAAAATTATGAAAGTAGTAAAAATAATCAGCAGTGGAATAGAATTTCATATTAAACAACATAATTACTATACATGTGAATATGTGATAGTAGAAACTTCTGTATATAAGACAGAAGCATCTGTAAGGATTCTTAAGTGTGATTAAAGGCGTTGTTGGTTACAGAGAAAGCTGATATACTGCTGTCCTCTGTATGTCTCAGCTTCTTTGTGCTTTGTAAACAAACGAGAAATTTAAACAAGCAATACCCAAATTCATCCCCAAGTGGTGGGCAGTGTCAGACTCCGGCAATTACGCCGGTGGACAGCGTTAATGTTATATATGTGTGTGTGTGTGTTTATATGCATATGAAAATAGAGGAAGACCTTGGCATCATCGATTTCGGACGGAGAGACAGGGGGGCTGTCAGTGAGAGAGCCACAACTCTGGCCACCGTTCAATGGGCCACTGCTGTGAGAGAGTCTTCCAGAAGTACGTGGTGATACCTCCTGCTGTATAGGAAAAATTGAAATCATTTCTATCATAAATTTCTCTGTAAAAGCAAGTGTTATAATTGATAGCTTTGCGGGTCACTTCGAAGAAAACGAACTCACTAGCTTTGAAGAAAGTGAAAACAGCGTTTATTGTTAATAAGGATGTTTTTCTAATCATAATAGTAGCAATCCTTGGAAAATGAGACCAAAATAAAAAATTAAAAACAAAATTGGAAACCAAGCATACATAACATAAACCCAGAGCAAGAGTGCCCTGTTTCTGTATTTTAATGCTACTTGTGCTTCCCAAGAAAATATAAAGCTACCTGTACTGCATAGATGTTTCAAATCGCTTTGGTAATTTCAAGAAACACATAGTTTTCCAGTGAATCTAAAACACAAAAAACAACTCACCAGAAAACTAAAACAAATTAAAAAAACAGATTAGGGATACAAGAAGAGTGATAGTTCTGGTTTTCTAAAATAAAATTTCCACACAGATTGAGACCCATCAAAGAAAATGATATAATTCAAAGAACCCAGAAGCAAAAATAGCATGAAATACCCAAAATTAAAGCCAAATGCCAAAATAGATGAACTATTCTAAAGAGACAGAGAAAGAATTGTGTAATTTGTCGGCATATGCTCAGATATATACTTACAGACTGCGACATTATACGTTCCATGACAAGCTGCGAAGTCTCGGAAGAAGCAAACGAGAAAGGGTTGCCGGAGACGGTCGCCGCCTCCTCCAACTCTCCGGCCAAATCCTCCGGTATAGTCGGACCACCACCACAACCAGCACCGTTAACTCCTCCACTCAAGGTCTTCGCTAGCACCTGATGCGGAGCCAGAGCTTTGGAGACTTCGAGAGCAGAGACACTCCAAGAGCGAGAAAGAAACTCCATCGGCTCTCTTGGGGTCTCCGGCGGCAGGAAAAACGCGGGTTGAACCGGGTCCATCTAGTGAACGAACTGACCTGGAAATACAGGTTTGCGCAACAAAAGAGAAGATTTGGAGTTTGGTTTTATGTGTGAGAGAGATGTGTGTGTTACTATATGTAAATGCTTATATATATATATATATTTATAGATAGATATATATACACACACTTGTAATGGTAGACGATGAGAGGGAAAACTGAAAAGAGAGAAAATTATTGTGATACGACTAGGGAGGTTCATCAGTACGCTTGTCTCCCCGCACGTACGATTAGGATATGGAATTAAAGAAATTGAAATCACACGCGCTAAAAGGGGCGTGTTAGGCACTTTCGAATATTAGAGTACGACTTGGTCCGCTTATTGAGGTTAGTGTACGTCTCAATTTGACGTGGGTGTGACCCGGATGTGGACCGTTCGACTACAGGTTGGGGAGTTACGCGCGTGTACTTTTTCTTTTCTTTTCTTTTGGACCTTTTGTTTCTCACATTTTTGTAGTTAAAAAGAATGGTTTGAATGAATGAGTACCAAATTGTTTTCAATAAATGATTAATTCACCTGTTCAAATTTTTTATTTTATTTCATTTAGCAAATTATGGGAAGAAAACTCGAATAATGACACACAGAGTAACATTTTTATTATGCCATGGCCCATTTGTTAAAATAAGGCTTGACAATCAAAAAGAAAAACAATCACGCAAATATATAAAGATTTACGTAATTCAACAAAATTATTTCACGGACTCTATACGATGTATTATTTCTTTCTCGCAATCAATCTACCATACTATAACATAACTCGCAAATAATCACCATCTTGTCTTCATATCTCTCACACCCTTAGGGTTGATATAAAATTCAACGCGATAAAAAAACCAACTTGCTTCAAAAGTCTAGAACCATTTGAAAACAAGTCCTCAATTTATGAAATAGTGTTGTGTTTGTTGTTTAGAAATGGAATGGAATATCCATTCTAACTATTTAAAGTGGCAGAAAAATCTATTCCAAAACCAAATATATGGAATAACCATTTCATTCCTAAGTAATTTCTTTTTAAGAAAATTAACTTCCCGAAAAACCTTCATGTTCCAAGTCCAAAAATCACCACCACCTCCCACCACAACCACATTCGTCTTCTACCACCGCTTTCCACCACTACCATCACCACCGCCCACAGGGGCAGAGCTAGGATTTTAATTCAAAGGGGGCACAGTTAAAAAAAAAAAAAAAAAAAAAAAAAAAAAAAAAAAAAAAAAAATTCAATTAACATTGATATATAACACGCTAAAAGAAAAATTTTAAGAAAAAAAAAAAAAAAAGAAAGAAAATTTAGATATATTTGACAGGAAAAAAATTAGAGTATGATTCAAAAAGGGAAATTTGACTTTTTTTTAAAAGAAATTTAAGTAATTTAAAGAACAAAAGAAAGAAAAAGTTAAGATAATTTTAGAAATTAAAATTTAGGGGGGGGGGGGGGCACGATATATAATTTTTCATATATACTAAAAAAATTAACTATATATATTCTATTAGACGGGACCAGGTAATATGTGCCCCCTTAGGACTTAATTGGCTTCGCCCCTGACTGCCCGCCACCGCCAATGCCTTTCACTACCGCCACTGCTACAGCTTTTCATCGTAGCCACCACCTTCCACTACTATCCCTGCCACCATCGCTACTGCGACAACCTTTCTCCACTTTCCACCACCACCACGCCCACCGCCTTCCTCCACCACCACCTTTCGCAACCACCGCCTTCCTCCACTACCGCCACCACCTTTCGCTACCACCGTCATCGTCTTCTGCTACCTTCCACCACCACCACTGCCTCCGCCTTCCACCACTGCCGCAACCGTCCACCACTACCACCGCCATCAGCATCGCCACCGCCTTCCATCACTGCTGTCTTCCAACATTACCACATTCCTCCTCCACCACCATTTATTTTTAAAAAATTATAAAAGAATATTATTTTGTTAATCTAATTTATTTGTTACTAAGAGAGATATTTTGGATAACTCAATTTGAAATTTATTATATTCTAAATTTTAAATTGGTCCAACCAAATACTATAATGGTTATTATCATTCTATTCCTACATATTTTATATTTACAATTTACTCAATTTATTCATTCTCATTTTCATTATATTCCCACTTGCATTCTATTACATTCGTGCACACCAACATTTGACCGGAGTTTTATATAGTCATGGATACTACTTCAATGTGCTTTGATCTACAACTTTACATGCTAAAATTTAAGCTCCACAACGTCAACACCATCCTTATTAATTTAATTATTTATATTTTCTTCCTATCAAAATTAAACAAGTGCTAATATAAATTATTACTAATACCTCCATTCATTTTTAATTTTTAAAATCGGAAACAAATCATTTAATCACATCGTCAGTTCTAACAATTTTTTGGCCGCTCCTAATGAGAAAAAACATCTTATTTCAAAACAAACAAAAGTAACTTAGTAAAATTGGCGTACTCAATTTGAGAGTCTGACTATCATTATATACAAGCGGAAAATTACAAATATAGAAAAGAGAATAAAATCAAATCAAAATAAAGAGAATAAAATCAAATCAAATCAAATCAGAATAAAAATAAAATCCCTAAAAATTAGCCTATATTGAAGACCCAATAAATCTGCCATAATCGTTGAGTCAACTTATAGATAAGATTTCCAACACTCCCCCTCAAGCTGGAGCAAATATGTTGACTAAGCCCAGCTTGACGATGGAAGACTGGAGAGGAGAAGGCCCAACAGACTTTGTGAACACATCTGCAGTCTATTCTGAAGAAGGAATAAAAATAGAATTAATGATACCCGATCGAACCTTCTCTCGAATAAAGTGAATGTCTACCTCAATATGTTTCGACCTTTCATGTAAAACAAAATCAGAAGCAAGCATAATGGCTGATTTATTGTCACAAAACAGCCTTGAAGAAACTTTCTGTACAAGACCCAACTCTCCCAAAATTGATTGAAGCCAAAGGAGGTCACAAGTACCTTGAGCCATAGTTCGGTATTCAGCTTCAGCAGAGGATCTAGAAACAACAGCCTGCTTCTTACTCTTCCATGATATGAGATGATTACTATAGAAAGTACAGAAGCCAGAGGTAGAACGTCTATCTGTCTTACATCCAGCATAGTCTGCATCAGTAAAGCATGAGAGTCCAAACTGATTTCCTGAGGCATAGAACAGACCAAGACTAGGGCACGACTTAAGATACCTCAAAATATGGTAGACTGCATCCATATGAGCTGAGCGAGGGGCATGCATGAATTGACTAATCACACTGATAGCAAATGTCAAATCGGGCTTTGTGTTAGTCAAGTAGATAAGACGACCTACTAAACGTTGATACACGGATGGATCTGGAAGTAGTTCCCCTGACTCAACAGAGAGTTAAAGATTGGGGTTCATAGGAGTGGAAGCGGGTCGACACCCAAGCATGCCAGTATCTTGAAGAAGATTCAAAACATATTTTCTTTGAGATAAAGAAATTTCACGACGGGATCTAGCAACCTCAATTCCAAGAAAATATCGAAGAGGACCTAAGTCCTTCACATCAAAGGACTTTTGAAGATGAAGTTTCGCTTGAGCAATCCCTGAAGCATTATCACCTGTGATTATGATATCATCCACATATACCAATAACATAATACAATAACCATCAGAGCGACGTCGAATAAAACAAGTATGGTCTGAGTGGCAGCGCACAAAGCCCATGGATAAAACAACATTGCTGAAACGACTAAACCAAGCTCTAGGAGATTGCTTCAGACCATAAAGAGACTTCCGTAGCCTACAGACTTTCCCAGCATACTCCCCCTCAGCCCAAAATCCAGGTGGTGGATCCATATATATAGTCTCAAGTAAGTCTCCATTAAGAAATGCATTCTTGACATCTAAGTGATGCAGAGGCCAAGAATGGGCAGCAGACAAGGAGACAAGCAATCGCACAGACATCAACTTAGCCACAGGAGCAAAGGTAGCACTAAAGTCTTTGCCCGGAATCTGAGTAAAGCCTTTTGCCACCAACCGAGCCTTATACCGATTAATAGAACCATTGGCTAAGTACTTCACATTAAAGACCCACTTGCAGCTAACCGTTTTCTCCCCAGAAGGTAAAGCAACAAGTTCCCATGTATTATTATGGTGTAAAGCATCCATTTCTGTTGTCATGGCAGACGCCCAATTGGGATCCTGGAGGGCTTCTGACACAGATCGAGGAATAGAAACTGTCCCAATCTTGCCCAGGAAGGATTTATATGCATTTGAAAGACCATCATAGGAGACATACTGGGAAATAGGGTGGTTAGTGCTACTAGAAAAACCATACCAATTAGGAGGATGACGATCACGGGTAGGATAACGGGAGGTACGCTCAGGAATTGTAGGAGCAATAGGAGAAGGAGGGTTACCTGGACCTGGTTCTGAAGATGATTCTGGCAGGGGAGGTTGAGTGCGATGGCGACGAGAGTAGACCTGCAAAGGTGGAGGGGAACCCTGCATGGATGGAGAAGGAGATTCTAGGACAGTGTGATTTTCAAAGAGAGGAACAGGACGGGCAATAGGAGAAATCTCCTTCTCCAGATCACAAGAGAGAGAATCCTGTACCACAGAATTAGTACTATAAAAAGGAACAGTTTCATGAAATGTCATATCAAGAGAATGATACATATGTTTGGTCACAGGATCATAACAACGATAGCCCTTTGACATAGCAGAATACCCCAAGAAAATACATCTAATAGATTTATCATCAAGTTTATGATGAGAAGGACTACGGTTATGAACAAAACAAGTACAGCCAAAAACACGAGGCAGAAGGTGAAACAATGTATAATCAGGCTGGAGAATCTGAAGTGGTGCCTTACCACCCAAAACTGGACTGGGAGTACGATTAATCAGAAAAGCAGCTGTAAGAACATCCATGTGCCAATAGAATTTAGGCACATGCATACCACTCAGAAGACATCGGACCACAGACATAAGATGACGGTTTTTACGTTCAGCCACGCCATTTTGCTCAGGAGTATAGGGGTAAGTGAGTTGATGTAAAATCCCCTTTTTATTAAGTTCAGACCGGAACTCATTCGAAACATATTCTCGT